TGACTTTACTAAGGTTGAGCCCTTGCATGAGCGCCTCGGGGACCTTTTTAACTTCATTGGCGCACCCATATATTGTTGCATGATCTTCCCTTACGAAAAAACGTGTAACAAACCGATCTCCGGAGTGAACGGTGTCCGTATTAAAGCTTTTTGTATACAATCTGACGTCTTGGTTCCATGAGGAGCTTATGCGGACATGGTGGCTGAAGTTTGGCTGTCCGTGCGCCTGTCCTCTACAAGCCAGATAAGAAATGTGAAAGAACTACTGCAGCATCAGGCTCATTGGCATTGATGAAAGGTTTTTTATCGTCATTCTTGGTCAGTTTAAAAATTTACGTGATCTGACAAAACCGAGTTCCAAGCTGGACTTAAATTATCACCCGATACTCACACTGCGACACATTCGTGAACTCCACCATAAATGTCATCAGCCGGCGACCGTCTGTGTTGCTGACTTTGCTACATCTTTAAATTTCACTCAACATGATTCCCTATGATTGGTTGTAGATTTGAACGGTATTTCGTTAAATCATCGTTCCATCGTCGCGCAAGTTGTTGCCCACAGTAGTCTCCTATTTGAAGGGTACACGACCAAACATTTATCAAGGTTAGATCATTTTTGCCATCCGTTTTAAGTGCGTTATTATCTAGCCTCCCATTTAGGCTGCATGCAGTTATTGCGACGCCAAATTTTCCACAGGATATAGATTGACTGACTTCGAATACTCCAATAATATAGCCACACTAGTATCAAGTTGTGTCGATGTTCCTGGAAAAGTTATTGTATGACGATAGCATCGCCGACCAAGTCATTGCTGTTCGCGGAGTCTTTATACGCGTTAGCAGGTGTCTGCTCGAATTTAGTGATATCTACAGCGCCACAAAAATCTGGATCCCCGGGCATCCTTCCGGTTTATTCTCTCTTAATCTCTTGAAGGTTGAAATATGCGCGTTAAGAATAAACGAGGGCTGGATGCATTTACGTTTCGCCGCTGATAAATTTCCTTCAAGTGACGTTCGCTGATATAATCTTGAATACAAGAGTCCGCACTAGCCGCAGCAACATATCAGGCCACAAAATTATGTTTTTCGTCCGATGCAACCTTATTACAGGTGACAACTAGGCAAGCCCGAAGCCTGGTTTGATTGTCCGTGAAGACATGAAAGTAATTGCTGGTGTGGTGTCGAGTTATGTGGATCTGCTATTATGGATCCTCATCTTTAGAAAGAGACTATCCGCGATATCCAAGATATCGTCCTTGTCGGCTCTGTTTATAACCTTGCTAAGCAGAAGGGGCCCATCTCAAAGATGTCGTAGACGGTACATGTTCACGCGCGACTTTTGCTAGCTAAGGCGAGTCAGCCAACCCCATCTGAACATTTACTTGCAGTTTTTACCCACGTGGCCCAATTACTGAACTA